AGGATGATATTGAATAGAAGTGGTAAAAGGACATCCTTGTCTTGTTCCAGTTTTTAGCAGGAATAATTTAAATTTTTCTCCATTTAGAATGATGCTGGCCTTGGGTTTAGCATATATAGCTTTTAGAATATTGAGGTATGTTCCTACTATCCCTAGTTTTTCTAATGTTTTGAACATGAAGGGATGCTATATTTTGTCAAATACTTTTCTGCATCTATTGAGATGATCATATGATTCTTGTTTTGAAGTCTATTAATATGATGAATTATGTTTATTGATTTCTGTATGTTGAACCAACCCTGTATCCCTGGGATGAATCCCACTTGATCGTGCTGCACTATCTTTTTAATATGTTTTTGTATGTGAGTTGTCAGAATTTTATTGAGAATTTTTGCGTCTGTGTTCATCAGGGATATTTGTCTGAAGTTTTCTTTCCTTGATGTGTCTTTGTGTGGTTTTGGTATCAGGGTTATATTAGCCTCATAGAATGAGTTTGGAAGTTTCCCTCCTTTTCTATTTCATGGAATACTTTGAGGAGTATTGGTGTTAATTCTTCTTTGAAAGTCTTGTAGAACTCGGCTGAGAATCCATCTGATTCTGGGCTTTTCTTGGTTGGTAGGCTTTTGATGGTATTTTCTATTTCATTACTTGAAATTGATTTATTTAAATCATGAATGACCTCCTCATTCAGTTTGGGTAGATCATATGTCTCTAGAAATTTTTTGATGTCTTTGATATTTTCTATTTTTATTAGAGTATAACTTTTCAAAATAGTTTCTAATTTTCTGTATTTCAGATGTGTCCATTGTGATATTTCCTTCTTCATTTTGTATTTTAGTAATTTGAGTTTTCTTTTTCTCTTTGTTAGCATGGCCAAGGGGTTATCTATTTTTATTTTTTCAAAGAACCATCTTTTTGTTTTGTCTATGTTTCAGTTGTTTCTTTTGTTTCAATTTCATTAATTTCAGCTCTTATTTTAATTATTTCCCATATTCTGCTTTTGGTGTTGATTTGTTCTTCTTTTTCTAGGGCTTTGAGATGTAGTGTTAGGTCATTTATTTGTTGACTTTTTATTCTTTTAATGAATGCTCTCAATGCAATAAACTCTCCTCTTAGTATTGCCTTTGTAGTGTCCCAGAGATTTTGAAATGCTGTATCAGTGTTCTCCTTTACCTCTAAGAATTTTTTATTTCATCCTTGATTTCTTCTACTATTCATTCATCATTGAATTGTGTATTATTTAGTCTCCATTTGTTACAGTAGCTTCGATTTTTTTTTAATTTTATCATTGATTTCTAATCCATTCCATTTGGTCTGATAGAATGCAGGGTATTATCATGTTTGTTTTTTTGTATTTACTAAGAGTTGCTTTGTGGCATAAGATATGGTCTGTTTTAGAGAAGGAGCCATGAGCTGCTGAGAAAAAAGTATATTTGCTCATTGATGGGTGAAATATTCTATGTATGTCAAGTCTAAATTATTAATTGTATTATTTAGTTGTATAGTTTCTTTATATAGTTTTTGTTTGGAAGATCTGTCCAGTAGTGAAAGAGGTGTGTTAAAGTGACCCAGTATTATTTTATTGTGGTCTATTTGACTCTTGAAATTGAGAAGGGTTTGTGTGATGTACCTAGATGCTCCATTGTTTGGGGCATAAATATTTATAATTGTTATATCCTGCTTATATATACTTCCCTTAAGGAGTATGAAATGCCCTTCTTTGTTTCTTTGATTAACTTTGGTTTGAAATCTACTTTATCTGAAATGAGAATGGAAACCCCTGCTTGTTTACGTAATCCATATGAGTGATAAGTTTTTTCCCATCCTTTCACCTTCGGCCTGTGGACGTCTTTGCCCAGGAGGTGAGTCTCTTGAAGACAGCGTATTTATTATTGGGTCTTGCTTTTTAATCAATCTGCCAGTCTATGTCTTTTGATAAGTTTAGGCTGTTAACATTCAAGGTTATTTTTGAGATATGATTTATATTCCCTGTCATTTTGATTTATTGCTGGCTTTTGATTTGTCTTAGTTTCTCATTTGGTTGAATGTCCCTTTAGTGTATATCCTCCCTTTGCTGGCTTTCACTTTTTTTTTTAACTTCATCCTTATGGAATATTTTGCTGAGAATGCTCGGTAGTGTAGGCTTTCTAGTTGTGAATTCTTTTAATTTTTTTTTTTTTTATCATGGAAGGTTTTAATTTCATCTTCAAATCTAAAACTTAATTTTTCTGGATATTAAATTCTCTCGGTTGACACCCGTTTTCTTTCAGAGCTTGAAATATATTATTCCAGGACTTCCTAGCTTTGAGGGTCTGGACTGAGAAATCAGTTGAGATCTGAATTTGTTTCCCCTATATGTAATTTTATTTTTTTTTCTCAAAAAAAAAATAAAATAAAATTACGTATAGGGGAAACAATTTCTTTTTTTTTCTCACAGCCTTTAAGATTTCATCTTTATTCTCTGTGTTAGTCATTCTCATTATAATGTGTTTTGGTGTGGGTCTGCTATAATTTTGTACATTTGGGGTCCTGTAAGCCTCTTGTATTTGATTTTCCATCCCATTCTTTAGGATTGGGAAATTTTCTGCTATTATATCATTGAAAAGATTGTGCATTCTTTTGGTTTGTATCTCTGCTCCTTCCTCTATTTCAGTAACTCTTAAATTTTGTCTTTTCTTGTTATCCCATAATTCTTGGATATTCTGTTCATGATATTTTTAGCATCTTCTCCCCATGTTCATTTCTACTTTCAAGGTTATATATGTTGTCTTCATTGTCTGAAGTTCTGTCTTCCAAGTGGTCTAATCTGTTGGTGATGCTTTCTATTGAATTTATAATTTGGTTTACTGATTCCTTTATTTCCAGGATTTCTGCTTGTTGTTTTTTTTTTTTTTTCCACGATCTCTCTTTATTGAAATAGTCTTTCACTTCCTGTATTTTTTCTTTGATTTCACTCCTTATACTATCCTTTACTTCACATATCAGTTTAACTATATACAATCTGAACTCCTTGGACATTTCTTCTACTGTGTTATCAGTGGCTTCTGTTGTTGAAGCATCTTGGTTTGTTTGGGGTGCTTTATTCCCTTGTTTTTTCATGTGTTAGTGTTTTCCCATGTAAAAGTATGGATCTAAGGCAGGATAAATTCTACCCTGTAGACCTATAGTGTCCCTAAAGGTTTCCAGTGCTTCACCTTTACTGGTAAGACTAATATCAACAGCACCCAATGAACACCTAATAGCTCCCTCTAAGGCGTCTACTGCTTTCTCATTAAATCAAAATGATGAGTTCAGTAGCTATCTACAGTACAAAAAGTATATTTGTTAAAAAGATTTACAATTTCAAATGGTGGATGAGAGAACAGAGGTAGTGTAGTATGCAATATTCACAAGGAAGGAAGAGAGAAGCTAGAAGTAAAAATTCACAGGAAGAGTCGGAGAGGAGCCAACGAGAGATTGGCTGTTGGTTGGAGAAAAGTTGGAAAGAAAATCCAAGAAAATAGACAAAGAGGAGAAAAAATCAGACATAAGAATACAACAAAAATGCAAAACACCAATCATATATCATTGACCTCCACACTCTGATGCATAAAAAACATCCTGTCCCAAATATGCTAGAGAGATTAGTGAATCAAAAAATAAAATAAAATAACTTGCTGGAAAGTCAAACTGTCTCTGTCAGTGTTCAACAGTTTCTCAGCCCTGTCTCTGACATCTCTTCGGATCACCAAACCCAGATCAGCCCTCGAAAACCCAGTCTCTATTCCACCGATCTGGGCTTCAGATACCTCAGGATTGGCCACGGTGCAGTCTCAAGATCTCAGTGCAGCTCCTACTTGCAGAGAGACCACCAGGGATACACTCATGCAAAGGAGCAACCCTGAGATGCAGCAGCAAGACAATGGCCACCAGCACTCTCAGCAGGAAAACCCCAGACTCCTCCAAACCTGTAGGCACCCCCACACTGGACCTGCGGGTCCCAGCTGGAGTCCCCAGACAGAGGCTCTTATTGTGATAAACTTGCTGGCACCCAGGCCCCAGGCCCTGGCTGGTGTCCCCAAAGGGTACAGGCATATGCAACCAAACCTGGGGACTCCCCTGAAGCAGTCCTCTAGGCAGCAGTGGTGGCGGTAGTTGTTGGCAGTTGGCAGTGAGTTAACAGTAGCAGTAGCTACAACTGCAGCTTGTGGAGGCAGTATCTCCAGGCGATCTCCAAGAGTCAGCATCCGTATCGGCTTCAGTTGCATCCAGGGCAGTGGTTTCTTCTGTAGCAGCAGCACCCAAAATAACACCTCTAGGGGATCTCAGGCTGGCAGCAGCAGTGCAGGCTGCTGATGGACAGGAGACCTCCAGTTCAGGGGCATGACCACAGAGGAAGCGACGGAATTCTTGTCTGAGGTAAAGGAGGCCATGCCTAGAGAAGAGACCTCCAGGCACAGCAGTGGCTTCTGCAGCAGCCCACAAAGGTGACTTCAGGCTTACTGCAGCGGAATCAGAGGCAGCAATGTCGGTAGCAGTGCAGGGAGCCAGTAACTGAGTTTTTAAAAATATATTTTCAACACTATCACATTAACAAAATACAGACAATATAGCATTATGACAGCATTGCTGTATGACAGTCATTTAAAAACATTCCTGCATTTAGCAAAAATTGGTCACTTGTTTTTTTCTTAACTTTGTTCCCCCTTCACTAAATTTCTTCAGAAGATAAGTGGTTTCTAATGCTTAGAATCTAAAAATGTTTTTTAACATGTTAGGATGAATCAAATTTTAAAAATTAAACTATAAAATAAAAATTGGATGAAGTTAAATAGTTCAGAGTTTGTCATACAGTGATGTAACTGTGATCCTTTTCATGAAGACCTGTAGTGGAAATGTTAGAAATCACCCATGTGTTTTTAACACCAAAGGTGATTTTTTTTTTTTTTTTTAAGGTAAGGAAAATAGTTTGATGACATTTTGGTGTCTGGTGAAGGACTTTCTCTATTTATAATTTACAGCTTACCAGCCATGCAACAGAATGGAGTCCCAACCACCTGGGAGAGGATGCAGTGGTATCTTTCGCTGACGTTGGATGGGTAGCCACAGAAGAAGGAGAGTGTTCAACAAGACTAAGGTTAGTTTGGAAGGCTGTCAGAGCTGAGATACAATGTCTGTTATTTAAAATAATATCCTTTAAAGATGATACATTTGAATACTGTCTTTTAGTCGCCTCATTTGATCTCTAGTAACTAACTCTACTCTTTTTCTTGAGCAGTCTTCATTTTTGTTCAGTTTTAATACTCATCTAGTATAAATTCTCAGGGACATATAATTGTATCCTAAATTCCTGTGAATCCCTGCCTTTTAGAAGTTTATATTCTTGTATGAGAGACCAGAAAGAACTATCATAAATTTGTTTACATAAGTACAGTGATTATAATGGTCTTATTGAGGCAGAGGGATCAGTATGGGCCATAGTAGAGAATTTGTGTACTAAGAGAATGTTTCCTAAAAATTGTTGAGTCAAGAAGAGTTGTGATTCAAAGGAAACAGTATATAAGAGTTAGAGAGGTGTGTCTATTTATTTGAAAGAGCCTGAATAAAATATTGACTGTTTTTGGTGATGGGGATTTAACCCAGGGGCACTTTACCACTGAGCTACATCCTCAGCCCTTTTTATTTTTTAAACAGGATCTTGCTAAGCTGCTTAGGGCCTCACTGAATTGCTGAGGCTGGCCTCAAACTTGTGATCCTCCTGCTTTCAGCCTCCCAAGTCACTGGGATTATACCCATGCACCATTCCATCTGGCCATATGCTCTTCACTCTTTAATTAGGCAGGCATCAGAAATAAGTCCTTGCATTCAAGGAATATTTGGTATGTTAGAGGAGATTAAGAAAAGAGTTCAATAATACTGATACTATAAAATGTACTAAGCAGTTACGGAAGGCAGCTGGACTGTAGGATGAGAGAGGTTTGGCAAGGCTTCTCAGAAGGGGATACTAGAGTTGACTAATGAGGAATTAGCAGGAGCCTTCCCAGTTTATTGATTTTATAAGTAACATTGACATTCTTTGGAAGAATCATTATGATTAATAATCTTGCCTAAGATAATTAATTTGTTCTGTATGATAGTATCTTAAGGAGAATGTGTAGTCTTTGGTTATATACACAATATAACATTTTTGTACTGAAAAGAATAAAAAATTAAAGATTGTAATCTGTGAGTCCTCAAGTAGACATATTTTCATCAAGTATTTGATTGCTTTTGGAGTAGAAGAACATTAAGAAATACTGAAATATTTCAAGTTTACTTCAGTTTGCTCATTCTGTAATAATAATTTATAATTATGTCTAATTCTTCAAACCCAATATTAAATAATTTTTTTTCTTGCAATGCTGGGTATGAGCCCAAGGCCTTGTGTGCTAGGCATGTGTTCTACCACTGAGCTACACCCCCAACCAAAATGAAATTTTTTAAGATTCATAATGCTTAAAAGTATTGCAAGTAACTCTTCCTTACACCAGGATGCTTGTAATCTAATGAGGAAGATGAGCATATAGTTGGCCCTTGCCCTTCAGTATTCTAGGGCTATCCCCCTGCATTTCCAAAATCTATGGGTATGTAATCCTTTGTGTAACATGGCATAGTATTTGCATATAACCTGTGCACATCCTCCTGATTACTTTAAATCTACATTACTTATAACACCTAATACAATGTAAATGCTATTAAATAGTTTAGGGAATTAATGACAAGAAAACAGTCTATACACATTTAGTACAGACATAATTAAAAGTGTACATATTTTTCATTTGTGTTTGCTGAATCCATAAATGTGGGACCTATGGATACAGAGGGCTAACTTTATTTATAAAAATCTATATTATAAAGATAGTGAATAATGTGAGACTGCAGACTTTACTAAAGCTCTTCAGTTTAACTTTTCAAATTTGAATAATAGCTGCAAATGAAATGTGCTGTTTTTAAGAGAGTATCAGAAAAGACCCCAGCCTGATCCCAACTTCATAGAAGATGGCAAGGATTTAAAAGACTCTAAAGGAAGTGACCTGGGAAGCAGGCAGGCTGGCTCACTTTAGCTCTTAGGTGGAGAATAGACCAGGGCACTCAATGGATCAGAGTAAGACAATTTCCTACTCATAGCACATCAAGCAGCAGGTGTTACTTGTTTCTTTTCTAATCCTAATTATTTGATCTGAGACATTAACTGACAATTTATAGGCATAAGTGGAAGGAAAAAACCTGCGTTTAGTGGCAAAATGTTATTCCCAATAAATACACTTTTCAGAAGATTTAACTTTTAAAATTAAAAAAAAAAACACAGAAGGCTTGTGTTGAACAGAGCCTAGAGCAGCTAAACGTGGAAATTACCACTCATCTTCTGGTCTATAGCCTCTCAACACTCTTGTCTCTACCCCTCTACTGTCTATCCTCTTGTGGATTACCTTCTGCTGTCAACTTGGCTAGTTGTCTTAATCCAGCCACTTGCCCACTTGAAAAGATTAGTCATTTTCTACCCAAGGAGAAGGAACTAAATTATTAATCAGCTTTTTTTCTCCCTGGATTCTAACACAATAATATATTTTTATACATTTCTTGATTGCTGTCTAACCTAAAAGATGAAGAAAGATCATTAAAAAACATTTTGGGAATACCACCTATTTAGGACACTGAGAAAATTTAAGACTATCTCATATTTTGAGTTTCCATCATTGTGAGATAAGGGAAAGGACCCTAGAGGTATATTAGGTTTAACCTAGACTTTTCTTTGCAATGGTCAATGGAGTTAAAAAGACCTTTGTATTTATGTAAATTGTGCTCGAAAAGTGGTTTCTTTAGATACCAACATTGGAAAAACTAAGAGAATTCCAGTGCAGTGTAACTCTGAATAAAAGCCTGTGCTCTTCTACCTTTGAGCATTTTGGAGCCAAAATCAATTAAGCAAAAAAGATGGATATCTCATCAGCAGAAGTTGGTATGTCGAAAATTGTTTAAAGAAACAAAAGAAACATCACCCTGGCTGATTGTTTACTGCTGTGGAGACACCCATACTTGATGTCCCTTTTTGTTGTTTTTACATTTGTTTTTTGTTTCTTAAAATTTCAATAGACGGGAAAAACAAAACCATTAAATTTACTTATAGTGATCATGGGGAGAACTTGAAGTTGATATCTTAATCCAGTATATCATATTATCTTGTTCTAATTCTGGATATTGAGAAATAAATCTTTGCAGAATTTGAAGTTTGGCTTACTTGAATGATACTATTTTAAAACGTGAGGATTTAATACTTTTGAATTTCTTAATTTCTAGGAGAATATTAGGTGGGGATATAATCTGCCAAAGTGACTATTAATTTTTTGAATAAACAGTAAAATCATGTTTAGTTTACTAGTATTAAAGGTTCCAAAATTTATTTTCTGATTATAGGCTGTAGGAAATCTCTGCACTCTGCACTTGTTCATAATACAAAAACAAACCATCATCCTCTTTTCCATTCACAGACATAGGTACGAATATATTCATTCTTTCAGATAGGTTTTGGCAAACAAAGCAACCACTTTTGTGGAAATGGGAAGACAGTAGAGATAGAAATACATCTTTGTTCATGAGTTTTTTTCCTCTCTTCTTGGTTGCATTTCCTTCTGTTGTCCCTACGAGATGCTCCTCATGCCTGGGACCATTGGTGGTGGTACCTATCCTTTTTGTCCTGAGGACACTGCTTCCAAACGCTTTCTCTAAAATCACTTTCAGTTTCTGGTGCCGTTTCCTTCCCTTCTTCCTCCACTACAGTTTTGAACAAGTGGGCTACTTTAATTCTTTGTTTATTTGAGATCTATATTTTTTCAAGATCTTTTCATGAGGCTAGAATTCTTTTACTCTCACTATCCTACCTACCAGCACTTTTCCCTAGTTCTTTGAAAAAAGTAATTCAAAAAATCTTTATTGTTTTATTAAAAACAAAACATTATATATTCTTAGTGTAAAAAACTTAAGTTTTTAATATGTAGGGCTGAATTAACACTTCAGTGTCTTTAATAGAAGAATAGCAATGTTGTTAGCCTGAGAATCTTCATAAACCTCAGCTCCAGTATTGATTCTTGATGCACTAGCTAAGTGATACTGACTGACTCTTGTGTCCTTATCAAGCCTGTCTAAAGAAGCGCCTCCACCATAGCTCTAATATAATATCTGATCCATGGACTTTAGATTAAATGTAGTGATAGAGAGGGAAGCTCCAGCCCTGTGTCTGATAGCAAAGGTTTCACTCAGTGTTAGTTTCCTCTGTTTCCCAATAACTTTCAAGCACAGGAAACTTTCCCCAGATGATACTGCACTAGGGCCTTGGCTTACTACTCTTTTGAGGTACCTGTGAACTATGATTACTATGTTCATATGAAGAATTTTGTCATTATAGAATTTCCAGAATGTCAAAAGATAGGATGCAGTTTTCTGAGCTGATAGGTTTTGCTGGGTGGATATAAACAAGAAGTTAGAGAAGGACTGTTTTTTGTTTTGTTTTGTTTTTTGTTGTTGTTTGTTTGTTTGGGTTTGTTTTGGTTTGGTTTGGTTTTTTTAGTTATAGATAGATATAATATATTTTATTTTTATGGTGTGCTGAGGACACACCATAAAACTCAGTGCCTCACATGTGTGACGTGAGTGCTTTACCACTAAGATGCAACCCCATCCCCTAGAACTATTTTTTTAAAGAGAAGGAATTTAAGACAGAAAAGGGCTTAAAGGGGAAATGTATGTCAGGTATACCTAATTGTAGAAAACAGGAAGAAATGGATACTTTTGTATACTTTGACATTTGAGAAACCCCAAAAGACTTCCATTTGGAACTATTAGAGTGAGTACATTAAAAAAATATTTTACACCCAAATGAAAATGAGACCATCCATATAGGTGATTCATAGATTCAATTATGATTCTTTTCTCTCCTTTTCAGTTTCTGTTTGCCATATTTCATCTATCCTTTCACTGTATGTCTTGCAATTTGATGTGTTCATCCTATATAGGAAACACTAATATTGATGTGAAGAAGCCAATACCCTGGGAAAAGGCTAATGGATTACTGATTTGACTTTGCAGTTAAATATAATAATTTTCCATTTTGAAGAACATTGAAACATCTCTTAGTTTAAGTAAAAACAAAACATGAATTAGTAAAACTTTGGTGGAATCCAGTGCCTCTTGATAGTGTTAGTTTGTACATATTCTATAGAGATTAAGAAGAATGAATAAGAAATCTAGGCATGGCTACATAAGATTGACAAGTGCTTTGCTGTTTTTAACACTTATGGAGGGGATTTATGTAAGATCAGTTTGAAGAGTTGTTCATCAGTGTTATGCCCTGATACTTTTGCTAATGGGTGGCAGTGGTTTTTCCTCCTCTTGAAAAGCCTGAGACAACTACTCCTATCTTGCTTGCAGGACAGAAGTCAGGTCAAAGCCACCCCTTCAAGATGACCTTCCTTTCTTCGAGAAGCCCCCAAGCAGGCATATTTCCTTACCAAGCCTGTCTCAAGAAGCGCCTCCACCAAAGAATGCAGTTCTGGCCAATGAGGAAGCCCTGCAGAAGATCTGTGCACTTGAAAATGAACTTGCTACTCTCAGAGCTCAGATTGCCAAAATCGTGACCCTGCAAGAGCAACAGAATCTCACTGCAGGTCTGTAAGTCCTACATTTGTTTGTTTTTCCTGGCAAATTGGAAATTTTGAATGCCACTAAATTTATGATTAGTAAGTAACAACTCTTGATGTTGTTTGAAAATCAAGTGTCAATCCCCTGCCTTGCTTATTGCAGAACCAGGTTAAGTTTAGGTAGTTTTTTTGTGTGTGTGTTTTGAACAATCTTGATGCTATCAGGGAGGATGACTAGGAAACCTATTTGGAAAACATTGAAATCCACGCAGTTGAATTACTACTGTTTGAATCCTTCCCTTATGGGAAACTTAGCTGTCTGTAATAGTAACACCACCTCTGTTGGACATGAGGTCATTCTGTGGATTTCTGTCCAGTGAAAGGAACCTGGGTTTCTCTGCAGGACCTGGGTAGTCTAGGACTACTTTCACCTCCCTTTCATGCTTTAACATCAGCATAATAGTCCTATATTATTGAGTTACTATTCAAGCAAATACAGAAAAGATATGAAATGTCTTCACCACATAGCAGCTGCAAAGAATAGAATCTGACCTTGGGTCTTCTAACTCCTTGTCTAATACTGTTGGTTTAATTAGTGCGATGTTACTGCTTCTTTGGGGAAGAAACCATAGCCTTGAAATCCTAGCCTACTAACCTGTTGGCATATAGTGGTGGTTTTTCCTATGGCTGTTCCCAAGTCATGATCCAGGATTAATCAGCTCTGTTGAAAGAATAGGATAGTCAGATATCTTGCCTCTGAGCCTCTGTGCTTGTGCCATCTTGGAAATCTTATCCAACCTGGACATGATAGCATGAAGGAGCTCTGGGCACCAAGTGCTGGAGGGATAATGGGTGTTCCTTCAGTAAATTTTGCATAAGCATGTAACTTTTTAAAAACCTAAAGTTCTGCCTTTTAATTCTGTTAATTTTAAATTGTTTTCTTTTGCTTTACCTCCCTCTTCTGGCAAACTAGGAAAACTACTGTAAATTGTAGATAATTTTAGAGTTTAGATGTTCTACTTATAATCTGAATCTTTAGAGTAATTCTTTCCATCAGTGCTATTTCCTCAACCAGTAAACAACTCTCGATGTTCCAATTATGCAGATGAATTTTAGGTCCTTATTTTATAACTCTATAGTTCTTATTTTGAAATTTAAATATGACACTTTTTTTTTTCTTCTGCTTGTTCAACAGTAATCTGTTCAACAGTAATTCTAAAACATGTCTTCTGTACATATTCTAGTCAATGCCATTTTTTGGTTTGTTTTTTGTTTTTCTGGTACTGGGGATTGAACCCAGGGGTGCTTACCCACTGAGCCACATCTCCAGCCCTTTTTATTATTTTTATATTTTGAGACAGGGTCTAGCTAAGTTGGTTAGGACCTTGCTAAGTTGCTAAGGCTGGCTTTGAACTTGCAATCCTTCTGCCTCAGCCTCCCAAGACACTAGGATTACAGTTATGCACCACTGAGCCCAGCCATAATGCAAGCTTTTAGCTCTAAGTGTCTTATATGAAAGTATACTTTAAATGAACCACAAATTTATCAAAGTGTTTTCCAATAGTTATAATAGTACTAAATTACTAAACGGTACATATTAAAAATAGAGGTGATTATGTGATACAGACTGCATTATATTTCTACTAAAAGTGATTATACATTGTGCTACAAACTTGAGCATTTTGATGTCACAGAAACATCCATTAAGTTAAATGGAACTTTTCCATCTGGAGAGTTTGAATTGAATGAGATAGTAGATCAGATTCAGGCATTTCTCAGGAAGTAACTGAAACTGCTTTTCTCCTTACACACTGAGATTCTTTTTAAAGATATTGTTTGTAGGAATACAAAAGTCCCTAACATACATTTGCTTTTAAAAACTATTATTTTCTTTATTACCAGCAGGATTAAGTTGTGTGGGTGTGTATGTGCATATTTTCCTCTTATTTCTTCAGTAGGTGACTTGGTTTCTGCCACATCTGTTACCACAGCCCCACCTCCTCCCTCCACGCCACCACCGCCGCCACCACCACCACCACCACCACCACCACCACCACCGTTGCCTCCTCCTCCACCACCTCCACCAGGACTCCACCAAAGTAAATCTGCTATTGATCTGATTAAAGAACGAAGAGAGCAAAAAGCCAATGCTGGAAAGACTTTGGCTAAAAACAATCCAAAGAAATCTGACATGCCAAATATGCTAGAGATCCTTAAAGATATGAATAGTGTAAAACTTCGGTCAGTTAAGAGGTGAGAATACATGTACTTTTTTATTGATTTCCCATTTGTTAATATCATGTAAAACCAACACCACACTTCTTGAGGAATTTTGTTTGACTACCATGAATAGTTTTTAGTTAAAAAAAAAAAATGGGTCCCAGTGACTCCTCCTATACCAGTAGCAGAATCAACTAATATTTCCAGGTGATTTTTTTAGTTTTCCCATTTAATATCACCCTTTTGTGTAATGTCTGTATTGTGACTATGTAGTCATTCATTCAGAAAAGGGTGTGTTGGGCTGGGAGTATAGTTCAGTTGGTAGAGTTCTTGCCTTGCATGCACACGGCCCCTGGGTTCAATCCCCAGTACCAAAAAAAAAAAAAAAAAAAGATGTGTTATGTTCTTATACAGGTGGTTACTGTATACACATGGAAGATGGAACCCTAGTTTCTGAAGGAGAACACAGTATTCTGAAGATACTGAGTGACTCTTTATGGGACTGTCATGTACTTTTGTTCAGCCTCAATCTAGGTTTCCATATCACTGCTAGCAAAGTTTGTCAGTGCCATTATGGAGTAACTATGATGCTAGAGAAGAACTATTGGTCAGGCAAGGGCTGACACAGTACTTCCCGGAGGAATGACAGTGTATGAGCCTGACCCTTGGTTTCTGTTCACTTCTCTAAGGTCAGAGCAAGATGTAAAGCCCAAGCCAGTAGATGCTACTGATCCTGCTGCCCTCATAGCAGAAGCTCTGAAAAAGAAATTTGCTTATCGATATCGAAGCAATAGCCAAGGAGAAATTGAAAAAGGAGTTCCAAAGTCTGAATCAGAGGCCACCTCAGAGAAAGCGTTGGTGAGTATTAGCCCATATTCTTTCTTATTACATGGCAGTTCACACCATGACTGAGTCCCTGCCATTGCCAATCATTCATCTGAGTCCTCTGCAAGATTCAATAGAATGTGACACAGGATTCTGTCCTTATCTACAAATAGATTGAAAGTAATTGGAAAAATGGTAATATATGTGTTTAGCATTTATATTTTTAATTTTTTTTACTATAAAAATGATAGTTGTTTATTTCGAAATATAAAACTTGTATAAGGGCATAAAGAAGAAAGCAAAAGTTAATCCTGTATCTCATGCTTAGCTATCTCTAATGTTAAATTTACCATACAGGGTTATATTTTTAAGCATAATGAAGTGAAATTCACTGTAATAAAATTTTTATGTTAGGGCAGTGCACATGTTGTGATACAGAAACTCAAAGCCAGATCATTTTTCTTAGTGAACCCTGTCACGTCTCTTTTGAATAGGGTGATACCTGAGGTGTGGACCCAGTTGTATACGGGTGCTGTATAATAGGTGGAGATGGAGCAGGTTTCATAGAAGCTCTTCGGTATTAATTTCTACATTCCCTTTATTTGTAATTGTCATGGGAATATGTATTCATTATTCCAGAGAGGCAGATATCAAATTATGGTATCCTTAAAACTCTGTCATTTAGACATTGCAAGGGAAAATTTGTGCTTCTTATTTTACTCAGAAGTAAACTTGCACTGAAGTAGGGTGTTGCTAATTATAGTTTTCCATTCTAGAAAGAAATTTGGCTAATTCTTTGTCTTTCATCCTGTTGCTGTGTCCTGTGTTTATAACAATGTTTAATTCATAAACGTTTTAACATTACTAGTATCTGCCTGGTTTTTCATGCAGAACATAACCCAGCCCTGTGATCCATGATGGGGGTGGGATATATTATTACTGTTATAAGAACTGATGTCTATCTTTATTCTTTTTCTTTCTTTTCCAGTTTGGGCCACATATGTTGAAGTCTACAGGAAAAATGAAGGCTTTAATTGAAAATGTTTCAAACTCCTAATGGACAATGAGCTGAAAAAAACTCCTGGTTCAGCTGGTTTGGGAGGGCTGAATTTGGCTAGTAGAAATCCAACACTATTTAGTAAATACCTGGCTTTAGTATTCAGTGGTGTACTTTTTAACCTAGAGGATTAAGCAATAATGGAAGCACCATAACTTTGTTTTGCTTTTATGAGATGGTCAGTTCTGGAGCCTCCTATAACATACTGAATTCTGACATGGTTTTCACATTTAGCCAGGATGTTGAAGCCTCCGATCTTGAAAACATTTGAAAGATTTCAGAACATAGAAAGGACATTTGTGGATTTTACTGTGCATTTTAAAATTCTTAACACTAATTTATCTGTACAAATGTTTTATATACATATATTTGGATATAAAACAGTTTAAAAAATTATCAGTGAATGACAATGAGGGTATTATCTTCATTTGTTTTCAGTGAGCATTTAATATTCAGTATGGGTCAGCTGGTATAATGTAAGTTGTTGGAATAAAATATTTGAGATTAGAATCTTCTTGCCTCTAATAGAACTTTTATCTTAGATTCTCTCTCACATTTTTGGAGTGGAGCTTTGAATAGGAACCAGTTGATGTTCACTGCTGCAATTCCATATGCTTTCCATTAGAGGGAAGTTGAGAACCAGGACGGCTGCTTGTACCTCATTGCATCCAATGCTGAGGAAACAAATGTACTTTTCAAGTGGTGACAGATTGAATTATTGAATTAAATCATTTAAATATAAACCAGATATGCCATCTTTCTTTATTTTCAGTTTAATAAATGGCATCATAAAAATGACTCATTGCTAAGTTGATAATACTTCTGGAGATGTCAGCATAATGGAGTTTAAATTTTTTTAATATTGGTCAAAATATTTATAATGAAACATTATTAAGTAGGACTATGACTTTCCTATGTATTATTTATCATTGGTCAGAATGCTGTTCTGATGAATTAATATTATGCAATGTAATCCTTAGGTGTTATTAGAAAGTGGAAAACTGCCTTTCTCATCCAGGACTTATAAGGACTTGCTATAAGTGGTCATTTGTAAGTGCTCAATAAACTTTCATGATTTTCTATTTGTGATAAATTCAGCTAATAGTTAATGCCAGAATTTCTTACCATGAGTAAATATTTGAATTTTTTAAAATTTAAATCTAGTGAAGAAAAGTTATACTTCCTGGGAGGATTAGGAGATAAGTAGAAATACACTTTAAGTTATTAAAAATGTTTGTTGTTCTCCTAAATATTAACAAAAATTATTTGAGATAATTTACATAGTTTGGTTATTTGGCTTAGGTTTAAACTGTGGCATGCTGTTGATAGATATTGTTTCTAATTGTTTGATATGATTTAAAAATTCTGCCTTTTAAGAAATTCAGAAAATCCACTTGACACATATTTTGGGCTCCTAAGAAATTTATATTTGCATCAGTATTGAATTTTGGCTAGTGCTCCAATGTAAGGAAGTTACTATTTTAAAATAAAGCCAACTATTATTTCCCTTGTACAACAGTGCTTATATGTTTTTCTTTCATCTTTTTCAATAAATAAGGTTATTTTATAATGCACATGGTGCTTCTCTGTAGTAACTGCCTTTCTACATTTTTCAAGTGGAAATATACTCCTCAAAATGAACTGTATCACTTCTCATTCACTTTTTTTTAAAAAAGGCATGTCATGGTTTAGATACAAGGTTAACCCCTAAAAGCTCATGTGTGAGAAAATGCAACAAAGTTTAGAGGTGAAATGATTGGGTTATGAGAGTCTTAACAATCAGTGGACTAATCCATTGATATGGATCAACTGAGTGGTAAATGTAGTCTGGAGCAGAGAGTCACTGAGGGCATGCTGTTAGAATTTATATTTTGTGCCTGATAAGCAGAGTTTTGTTTTGTTCTCTCTCTTTCTCCGCTTTTTGTTTGCCATGTCCTTAGCTTCTTTTCTTCTCCACACCTTTCCACCATGATGTTCTGCATCACCTCACGCCCAGAGCAATGGAGTCGGCCATCTGTGCAATGAGACATCTGAAACTGTGAACCCCAAATAAAGTTTTCCTCCTAAAATTGTTCTTGTCAGATCTTTGGTTGCAGCAGCAAAAAAAGCTGACTAAAATAGAAAGCTTAGCATTGACACTGGAAGGCACTCCCTGGAGGCACCCATGTTTCAAGGCTCTCAAACCCATACCTAGTATAGGATTAGTGAGACCTGTTTTCCTATCTTTTTGCCACACCCACTTTATTCAAGTTGCAATGCTCCCACCCAACATAATACCTTGAAGTCAGAACTTAATAATAGTTAAACTCTCTACATTTTATAGCTGAAGCTTACAAAGGTAAGTAACCTGGTATAATGTTTTAACTAGTCCAGTGAACCTCATAGACAAAAATTATGAGTCATCACTGGACTTGGAGCCTCATGTGATCCTGGCCATGTCACACCCTTTTTAAAAAAAATGGGAATTGTACTCAGTAGCTCAAAAAAAAAAAATTGAGGATTATGGGCTGAGGCTGGGGCTCAGTGGTAAAAGCACTTGTCTAGCATGTGTGAGGCACTTGGTTCGATCCTCAGCACCACATAAATAAAATAAAGTTATTGTGTCCATCTACAACTAAAACTGTGTGTACAAATTATATATATATATATATATATATATATATATATATATTTTTTTTTTTTTTTTTTTTTTTTTTCCTTTTCATTGAGGATTAAATGGAATAATGATTTGGGGCACATTCTATGAATAGTAAAGGGCTAAATGAGTTATTACCACCATAGATTATTTTACATGAAATCTGTAGTTTCCAGTAGGATGACTTCTCCTAGGACTAGGGGCCATCACCTGTAATAGGTGTTATTGTATGCATCTACTTGCACAGATTGGGATGGAAGGGGTAGGACTATAATATTCCATCTTCTTGCCATCTCAAGAATTCCTATGAGTCTTTTTGTCTCAAGAGTGAAGAGGAAGACATGAAGTAATAAGTTACCAGAGACAAACACTTTGGAAAAAATATTGTTCTGATAACTTCTCCAAAAATAGTTCTCTGGGAATAGAACATGGCACAAGAAATTCTTTCAGGGTTCATCCAACAGAAGCAGCTCTGAGACTGCCAGGCTGAATGACAGTCGGTTTCATAGTAAGACTGTTGCAATACTGCTCACAAACTCTCATTACAAGGACCTCTTGTTTTATAGGTTCATCCTTCTGAGCGAATGTCTTGAATCTCTTAAGATTCTTCTTAGACTTCTCTTGGAAACCTTGTAAGCTAGCTCTTCCTTGACCTTAATACTCTTTCTTGAAGACAGGATAATAAAAATAGCGTAACCAAGCAAGCACCCAGAAATCTTGCAGAGGTCCCTCTGGGGACTGTTGTCCTTAGTTCACTTCGTAAAGACTTAATGTTCCTACAGCTGGAACTTCTCACGTTTTTCTCTTTGGCAGCTTCTCCAGCCTCTTGAAAAGGTGAGATGACTCCTGCAAGATTAGCGTAGAACATGAGTGTCATTTAGATATTCTCAAGAGAGCAGTTGTTAAGATAACCCAAATAATGCTTCCTATTCCATACCAAATGCATGTCACACAGACATCCTTTTTCTTCACAACTGGAAAAGCCTTAATTTGGAAAGAAATCAAGGGTTTTTTACCAAAGGCACAAGGAACCACTATCATTGTTGCCTAATATGGCCATCCCTCCTCATTGGTCAGACATGCTTTTTATCAAAAGATGAAAGAAGATGAAACCAGAAACAGTTTCTGGTATCATCTTAAAGGTGAAAAGCATGAGAACTTGAGTTCTGTCAGAAAGTCATTTTCAAATACTGGTGTTAGCAAGTGGGGTAGAATAGCACATGGGAGCTAATGGGGGAGGGATTCAAATTGATGGTCCTTGTCCTTCCCCTTTTGCAGGGCAGAATACCTAATAACGCATACACTGTGCCCAGGGACACAGCCTCAGTAGGTATTCTAATTTGATTCTTCCCCAGGAAGCTGAATAAGAAACCTAAGAGAGCAAGGTAGGTAGTACCAGGAGCTTAAATAAGGATACTAATGAGGTACAGCTATACCTATGAGGAATTTTATGCAATGATTTTGAGGAAATGACTTAGGAAGCATATTCATAGTAGCATTGATTCAGCACTCTCAAAAGTGTCAATACATGATTTTACTTTTAAACAAGACATTTTACAGGGTAGGAAATCACTCAAAAGATATGGTAACTTACCAAAGGAATCAAACCCAAGTCTTATAAGCTACAGAAATAATGCTTTTTAAAAATCATGTTATACTGCTACCTTAAACAGAGACTGCAAAAGAGAGAGCTGGAAGAGAAACAGTAGCCAAGAGTACGGGAGAAAGCAGCTCTGTCTCAGAATGATCACATCTCAGGTTCTGTTTCCTAAGGCATGGCCTTAGGAGTGATCTCCATTATTTTCATCCACATAAATCCTCATGATTAGAGCTCCCAGTTTCCTCCCGTTTAATCTGAGTCCCTGTGCCCTGTAATAGAAAAACCTAACCCTCATCTTGTGATGATTCTTAGGGGAAATCCCAGTTGTTTTCTAAAATAGTTCACCTAGTAATTTTTACAGTGTGTGTGGTGCAGGAAATTGATCATAGGGCCTTGCACATGCTAAGCAAGTGTCCTATCACTGAGACATACCCCCAAGCTCTACACCTAGGAACTTTAAGGTTAGTTATTAAGTGCACGTGTAACATCCTCCCCTCATCCTTGTGTTGAAAACCTAACCTTTAAATAGGATGGTATTAGGAGTGGAACCGTTGGAGGTAATTAGGTCCCAGGGCAAAGATTTCATGATGGAATTGGTGGTCTTATAGAAGAGGGAGCTAGCCCTCTCTTGGCCACCTGAGGATGTAACCAGGAAGAAGGCCTTCACCAGAACCCAACCATTCTGGCACCCTGATTTTAGACTTCCACCCTCCAAAGCCATGAAAAATGAATACCTGTTGTTTTTAAGTCACCCCGTCTATGGTTCTTTTTGATAGCAACCTGAGCAAATTAAAACAAGTGCACTTCTTTATGGCATTTCCTTCAAAATTTATGTTGTGTGTGTATAAACAAATATGTAATTTTCATAAAATTCAGCTAAGGCAAAGGGACTTGTGATATCATTTGTTTCCTGATTTTTTTTTTTTTTTAGAGAATATAGCCCAATAAATGAAGAAATACAAATTTTATGTTAAAAAAAATCTTAGATGCAGAGCTTAAAGATAAATACAAGATGGAATTCTTTTAATAGAGACTGGGATCAATGGATAGCTACAATAGACTAAGTCACTTTGTTTCAGTCTTAAATAATAGCCAGCAAGAAATCAAATACTAAAAACAGGGTTGTTTTTCTTCCTCTGCCAACCCACCAGACTAAGATTGGTTTCAGGACAACTTAAAAGTGTCAGTATAGATTTTAAGATGTAATTGATAAAAAAGAATTTTACTAAAAGTACATTGGATATTTAAAACTGTTTTAGAACCAAATGTGGAAGCCAAATGATTCAGATATTAACAGCTATACATAGGATTTACTAGAAATGATGTCATTTTCACCATTAGTCATCCATTCTCAACACTTTGCTCATTTTGAATGATATAGATAAACATGATAAACACTTCATACATTATTTTGTCACCCAAGCACTTGGAGAACAGAGACCATGGTTTTCAATTTTAAAACCCCTTTTATTACATTCAGTGCCATGCTCTGTACACAACAGGAACTCAGATATTGCTTACCACATGACTTCAGCACAAACAGACTAGTTTCAGTATAATTTCTCTTAGTGATAATCTGATAGGTAAAAAGGGAACATTAATTCAACATTAATTTGTTCAACAAATATTTACTGATAGTCCAATTTATACCAGCCCTATGCTAAGCAGAGGAACCAGGAAGATACAGACCCATTATATGCCCTTTGTCAATTCACCCCCCACCTTTAGACCATGGACCCTTCAGGGTTTTTGAAATGACAGGTCATCTTTAGGACCTTGACAGGAAGTGGCTGCACATGTCTATTCTACTATATTTTAAATGTATGTTGATGCTGTAGGGACTAGTATGCATATTTCCTTAAAAGCAATATTAATTCATATTAGTTATTATTGGTAATTGTGTCTTTTCTCAATCAGCAGGTACTGATAGGGAATTTAAACAAAGTTTATACATTAAAATATTTATAGATGTTTGGAGACACTGGAAACTTCTGATGTGAAAATTTTAAAGTTTTAAGAAAATAGAAAGCTTAATAAAAGCCAAGAAAGCATTGTGGAAAAAAGAGACCCTTTTTGGAATCTTGAAGGAGTTACTAGCACCTCTAACCTGTACACCAGGTACAAGGATATTTCCCGTGTTTGCAAAGGACATAAAATGTAATTGTTACTATTTATACAAAGAGGATCATTACAAACCATCACATTTACAGTGAGTACAAATACTGATCAGGAACCAATTTTTGTCGTTAAGCTGGGACTTGTCAAGATTTGCTTTCCAAGGACCTTAATCCATAAAGAATAGATTCCCTCACCAGTGAAGTATTAGGCCAAGAGCCTGAAAGGGCTGTTACATGCTTAACAATTCTTTAAAGTCTCCTATTTTATCTTAAAAATTCATGTGGACTTTACATTGTTCCATATTTGCTTATTTTTAAAAAATGTGATCTTAATATTTGTATCCTCAAAATTTTCTACAAAATTCAATGTTCAAGGAACATATGCTCCATTTAAAAAGCAGGGCTATAAAAGGTGTTTCCCACATATACATAACAAAACATGACTTTTGAATGGATTTATTACACTGATAGGAAAATGGAAGCAACACCAAGGTGTCCCCCTGAGAATGTGGAAACTGTAAGCTAATCTTTTGAGTATTAAACTATAAGACAAACAATTGGTCAGAGCAGAAGAAAGCACACACAGGTAGAACGGAGCCTAGGTAAGCTCAACTGAAACAATGTTGAAGGCAATGACATCTAATGGAGTTGCCAATCAGAAGCTAATGTGGAGAAGTAACTACTGGCAGAGAATCTCTAGCATCTTCCAGGGGAAGAGGGTACCCTGGTCCACAAACATGAATATCAGCAGGACTATCTCCATAAGGAGATGGAGGCATGAGGCAACTTGCTTCCCTTGCTCAGAATCCATGCTCACCAAGTGAACCGGCTGTTCATAATTTGGCTTCTCAAGAAGATTTGCCTAAAGGGAGAGAATGATTGATAGTTACATTTCTCATTTTGAATTAAAATATTGATAGTTTTAAAAAATATCAGTTACTGTGAGCTTGGTTAATGTGATTTTGCCATGAAATAGTTCTATTCTCCATGTGCTGACAAATGTCTGTAAGCTTCTACTCCGGACCTTTCAGACCCTGGACATACCAAATTTGCTAAGGTGATGCCACTAGTAAGAGTGGCCATTTGGCCTTCCCCTGGTAAAAATTCTGCTATCCTTAAAGGTCTGTGCTCATGCTGTTCAATATGTTAGCCACTAGCCACATGTGGGGATTGGGCACTCAAAATGTGGCTAATTTGAATTTAGATGTGCTAGTAAGTATAAAATACACACTAGATTTTTTAAAAAGTGTAAAAAGATCATTGTTTTTAAAATTGACTATAGGTTGAAATAAAATATTTTGGATATAATGGAGTAAAATGTTATTAATTCCATCTACTTCTTTTTTTTTTTTTTTTTCAAATGTGGCTGCTAGAAAATTGGAAATTACTGAAGTGGCTTCCATTATATTTCCACTGGACAAATCACTCTTTAATACAAATGCCAAATATGTTTGACTTTAAAGTTTCCACCATGTCCCTTATAACAAAGGAACATAGAACTGGGAAGATGTAGGAAAGGCCCAGTGGTATCATCCTTACATTAATATGAGTGGCTATTTCTTACTACCTTCCTTTAAAAAGGCCAAGAGGTAATGTCTTATGCAGTTCCTAACTATGGGTACAAAAGGCTGTGGAGTCAAGAGCCGGATCAAAGCTGACCTCTACCATGTTACTAGTCAAGACTCTGAGCAAACTATGTAACCAGGCCTCAGCATGCACACTAGTAATGTGCAGATAATAGTAGATAACCCCATAGGATGGTGCTGGCACATAGCTCTGACTGAATTAGCATCTGATGAATGAACCCAAGAGCTAAACAGCTAACCCTAGCTTCCTAGTAATTTAGCATTGTGATTTCCAAAGGATTGAGTTATAAGGTAAATCTCAAAGATAAAAATGTGAAAAGATAGGTTTTTATTCATCAAAAGTTAACAGCAACAGGCACGTATTAAAATGAGTATGGCAAAGCCTTTTACAAATGGCTTTACACTCAAGCTTTCTCCCAAGAAAATGGCTGTTGCAACAAACTGTAAACATAATTAATAAACAGTCTTTTACAGTAACAAGGGAAATACAAATGAACTAAAAGAAAGCACCGGTTTCTCTTAAAACTAGATTACAGTTGTGCTTACTATACATAAAACAATTTTAAAACAAATTACAAAAGTGGAATGTTTTAAGTTTAAAATTAGTCCTTAAATTTTGTCCTAGAAAACATCTGTTCACATCAAAAGGCCCATCAAAGGGTAACGTTTCATCAAAGGGAGGGACAAGAAAACAATGCACTTTTTTCAAATCAAAACGAGAAGTTTGGTCACTTAGCTTTGTGCATAGTTTAAGGCAACTGGAGCAATCTGTTACAGCTTACCTACCTCCCCCTCTCCCAAGTGTGGCTGCTCATTATGTCACATTCTAAAATAATAAATAAAAGCTTACATTTCCAATCCTTTCCCACATGGATGAATATAACACATGCACGGTCATACATGCACAAACATGCACGCAAACACACATCCACACATTCACACACAACATACCTCTCACTCACTGCAGCGAAAGGGACTTTAGTACCCTGGATCTGAAGGACACACTTCCCCATCCCACTTTATTTCAGATTGGCAAATACCCTGAGCTGATTATGGTGTTTTAAACATTCCACCTTTTTCTTGCATGTGCAGGTCAAGTGTACAGTAGTGAAAACAACATGCAATGTCTTCACTGCAGAATCATAACACAGCTAGGACATTGGCGTTCCTCCCCTCCCACCCCAAATTAAAAACTAACAGTTAAAAAAAACTGCATTGCCAAACAGCACTGGAGTAGAAGCTTGGCGGTACTCTATGATAAACGCACTGGAATAAATGCTCAGCTTCCAGTGCACGAAATAAAATACAGCAAACAGGAGCCTTTGGTGGCATCCAAAGAAGAAAAAAGGCAAACAGGGGGAAGAGCTGCAGTCTAAAGTTTGATCTTTAAATTTTTTTTTTTAAGTGGTTCCTTCACAATCATGCTCCAAAGCAATTTAGAACCAATATTTTCAGAGTTGATTTGTAAACACTGAGTCTTGCCAGAGGCAGCAGAGGCTGGGCACTTCACATTTCCTTTTTCTCAGAGAGAACTTAGTGGAAGGTACAGATACACAATGTTGCATCAGACTGGTTGAATTCCAAGAGACTGCTGCTGAAAGATTCAGTTCAAGTTTCATGTTTGAAGAGTAAATGCTTTGAAAAATGCGTGGCACACTGAGAAACTTCTTTTTTTACTCTTTTCGGGTTCTCCTGCTGGGCTTTGCATATTCAAGGTTTCACACAAAAGCCAAAAGCATATTGCTGTATGTTCAGGTCTCATAATTAAAAAGTGGGTTCAAATGATCCAACTTAGGAAATCTTGGAAATAAATAATGCTGGCATCATTCACTTGGAAACCTTGGCAGTCAAGAGTAAGTTCTCTCACCTCAAGACCCCGTTTCACATTACTAAAAGCCTCCAGGAGGCAGTCTGTCCCACTGGTTCAGGGGTTATGATAACCGGTTTTCCTGAGGTAATAACTTTGAGTTCAACTCAAATGCGGCATCGGCATCCTCGCTGCTGGACTGCTCTCTCTGCAGCCCCTTCCAGCTGGCCTTATTCAGTCCCACATGTCCAAGCATTGTCTGGGATAGCCTTGTGTCTGAAAACCTGGCCCATTCTGTAAATAACGGCTCCACTAGGTAAGTCATAAAACCTTGAAAAATAAGAGAAAACGGCTATTAACGAATGCTCGCAATTTAGAGATCTAGACCACGTTAACCTTCTTAAGTCCTATTCCAATACTACCCAAATCTTTTCAAAAATTCTAAATATGTGTGTTCATGTATAATTTACACATCTTCTCTGAAGAATCTATTCCTTAAAAAACTCAATGGAACTTTACCTAAAGGTAAACTGGTAAACATTATTAAGTCTTTCCTGATTATGTCTCTCAGTTGAACAAACACATCTTAATACTTATGCAAACATGCACTGGCCACATGGACTCTGAGGATACTAGGACAACACAACTCAAAGTTTAGTTCCAGTGAGACAACTGGAGGTCAAGATGGGGTGTCTCCTCCAGGAGGTGGGTGCCGAGGCCAGAACTGGAACTGGTGAACTCACTGCTTTACCCCTCAGGGACAGAAACGTCTCTTGATAATAATTGAACAATTTGTCTAATTAACTTTAGAACTAAAACTCAGAAGAAGAATTAATCAGCTTAAAGATAACAGGGGAGATTAACTTTTAAAAATTATTGCAGTGAACACCAAAAGTGCTCCAGGGTCCTATTTTATAAATAAATCGTATAATTGATGAAGCTTAATTCATAGAAAAGGAGAACAAGTCATTTCAGAATTGTTTGTATCTGTAGGTTATACAATACTCTACTGAACATCATATCTGATTTCATACTAAGTACTATCTCACTTAGTCCAAAGAAGCCTCCTAGGAAATAGCTTATCAACCAAATCAAAACATACACATTATCTTCCTAAAATTCTGACCTGTTAATAAAGTGAGAAATAAACAGAGCACACTAGTACATAGTATTTCTGAGTCTTCACATTTAAGAGTTTTCTTGAAGTAAAATATGTGGACCACAGATGGATCTCACTGAAATTAAAGGAATTATCCCAAACTATTTTTAATTAGGAAAATCCTATATGGTCTTATGGTTGATATTTATTTAAGTGTACATAATTATAGTAACTGAACAGTTATGATGATCTGCAATAAACTTTCTTTTATTGATTCATTCCCTCCACATAATATTAACTGAGATTCTACTGTCGGGCAGGCACTGTTCCATCCAGGGTGGCTGGGGATACAGTAGTGAACAAAACACAACATCTCTACCCTCAAGGAGCTTATGTTATGGTGAGGAGAAAGAGATAACAGAGAAGAATGTCATTAATACAGCCCAAGAACAGAGCAGCTTTTGGCAGCTATCCTCTAGCCACCATGTCCTGCTGAGTCAGGCCTTTACAGTTAAATCACCAACAGTTGAGGGCTTGTACCCAAATGTAGAACCTTATTATTGTAGGTGTTACATGATTCGTTTTATGTGATTCTTGCCATTGTTACAACAGGTTGAGATAAAAATACACAGGCCAGGGCTGTGGGCACAGGCATCCAGCTGCCTCTCAGAGGTACACTCTGTCAATTGGGACCCTTCAAGCACAGCTGCCTCTATCTGCACAAATTTCACAGGGTGCTTTGCCAAATACCTCACTCTTACCCAGGAACTATTCAGCAAAACTAACATCAAAGAAAATTATATTTGTTACGCATGACTCACACTCACTAATCCTAAGCAGGCTCCAGGTAATCACTATTAAGATTTGACATCACAAAGACCCATTTGAAGCCCTACACCTACAGCTTGTTAACTATTGGTGGGCAAACTATCTGAAAATGGCGGACTTGCAGTATTCGACTCCTAGGGTGGCTGCGAGGAGTCAGCAGATGTCCACTCTCCTCATCACATCATTTATCTTATCCCTGGTCCTCTGACAACCCATTCTAGAACTGCCCAACACTGACCAGACCTGCACTTCGAGATGAACAATTTGAGGAGTCTAGCTTCTGCACTCTTAGAAAAATTGTGAATTTCTTAACCTCATTTGCAAGTTCTATTAATCTATTAAGACCCAAGTTTTTAATGCTGTGAGTATTTCAATGAAATTGACCCAGGTGCATTAAGATAGGTTGGAGCTCATAATCTACAACTTATATATTATATTAATAATAAAAATTACATAGTCATATAATTATGTACTATATTTAAGATTTTTATACATTTTTCTACATCTAGAACAATGGGAAAATGAGTTAAAATAGGGAGTCATTTCCTCAGGCAAAAAGACATTTATTTAAAAGAGCTAGAGTAAGTTTACTACTCATTCACTCATCTTCAATTTCCTTTTGCCCATATTTCATCCATTATTTTGCATTTGAAAATTATCCTACTTGACAATCAAGACAGAGCAGATCTATTTCTTAACTGTATTATCCATCTGCTAACTTCCGCACTCCAGGCCAGTCTGGGCTTTCCCAGAGGTTCCGCATCCCTATGCACTCCTACAGGTCTGACCACTCTCTGTCACAGCTTCTCTACCTGTCCCTCTGCAGTCAAGCCATTCACTACCCATTTTCTTCCACATGTGAATCCTTTACAGTTACAACATAATAATTACATTTTTGAATTTCTGATTCTATAGCATGATCCTCCTTTCGCAGTATTATGCCACAGAATTGTTCTACCTTCTCAATTTCTAGAAACCTTATTTTTTTTTGAAGTTCAACCTAATGCTCAAAAGGCCCTACTCAATCAATACCATCTACAAAAATTACATTCTTACCTCAATACCTTCTTGAGCTACTTGTCTCCACCATTCCCTACTTTACAACCAAACCCCAAAACACTCAATGCCAGGCTATCATTCCTCTGCTCTTCTACAAGCCACAATGCTTCAATCACAGAATATTTCACTGTGTTCTACTACAGTTAGTAGTTCATTCAACAAACAGTTCTCCACAGCCTCCTGTGTGTAGGTACAGTGCCAGGCTTTAGGAATACTCAACCAAGGGCAAGGCAAGGTGTGAGCAATAGTGTAAGCACTTGGTGCCTGGAAGAGGACCACCTAACATTGCCTGCAGAGTGAAAAGCACATGCTGGAGGAGGCATCATGTGAGCTGGGTCTTCAAGAAAAAGGAGTCATGGGATGCAGACAACAAAGAATGGAAGGGCACAGAGGGTGAAAGAGTCCTAACAAGAGAAAACAAGAATAAGATTTCTTAAATTATTTTAAAAACTAGAAATGAGCACAATTTCAATATAGATTATATATTTTGAATAATTTCTCTTCTTGACAAAATTAAAATGACATTTTTTCAAACCAGCTATATTTAAATGTATATAGTTACCAATCTGGATGTTGGCAATAGATTCAGTCTGACGATCACAAAGTGGACTCACACTCAAATGATACTTTTTTTCTATATCTCCTAAAAATTAAAAGGAATTATTAAGATGGAACACATCTATTGGCTAAATATATAATTAATGTCTGCATCATTCCTATAAGTACCTTAGAAAAATATATTTAACCTTCATGAGGACAACTTCTCAATTAGTTTCCTTTTCTTTTTTTTTTCTTTTAGACAGAGGTTTATTTAGGAAAGAAAAGGCACATTAAAGGGATAATGCAGGCCATCTCCAGGGAGGGAGACAGCTTGATTATTTTTTGAACTTTAAGTTATTCATACATAGAAATGGTTGCTGGGTTGATATTTAAATGAAAGAAGTAGAAAACCTTTACTAATGTACCCTAAGACTATAATTCTATCAGCATTTTAGTTTAAAATTTAGTTTTTAAAAGGGTGCTGCATAAAATGGAGACCCCTGGGCTCTGACTTTGAATCACATTCAACAACAAAAAAAAGTCTTACATGTTTACACGGACATGCCTTCCACATACAATAAGGGATGGAGCAAATTCAGAGAAATCTTTCTGTACAATAAAATTTCCAGCCTACACTATGTATATTCATAAATGCATAAATATATGTATATATGATAATTCCAAAAGAAGACTACTAATTTTCAAAACAGATGCTCAATTTGCACTATGTGCACATTATACTGGCTGTATACACATCTATGAATTATTGTTAAAAATATCAAGAGGCTCTTATAAATGCTGAGTTCTTATTTTGTTCATGCAATGCTAAAACATGGACTGAATAATTTATTAGTCAATACTATAACTTGCCTTGGTGGAAGAATTCTTCTGTTACTTTTTCACTCCATTGTTTGCTTAATTCCCAGGTCCGACAAGGGTTACAGATATCAGCACATTTCAAAGCCATCTAGCAAACAAAATGTTAAATTTGTGGTGAGAAAAAAAAACATAAGATCTCAATTGTACTAAGTTTAAACATACCCTAACAATGGGAAAAAGAACACTTAAAAAAGAAAAAGAGGCCAGGTTGGGTGACATGTGCCTGGAATCCCAGTGATTTGGAAGGCTGAGGCAGGAGGATTACAAATTCAAGGCCAGCCTTAGAAACTTAGCGAGACCCTCTCTCAAATAAAATATAAAAAGAGCTGGCAATGTAGCTCAGTAGTAAAATTGCCCTGGGTCCAATCCCAAGTAGCAAAAAAAAAAAAAAAAAGAAAAAGAAAAGAATAGAAGAGAAAAAGAAAAAGAGCTAGAGTATAGCTCAATTGTACAACATGTTAAAGTTTAATATGCATCAGATGCTGGGTTCAATCCCTAGAACAAGCTAAAAAGAAAAAAGTAAAGAAAAATATATATATATATATTTTGTTGTTGTTGGTTTTGTTGTTATTTTTCAATGGCACATTATAATTATACATAATAGCAGAATTAATTATGCCATATTTGTACATGTCCACAACATAATTTGATCATGGTATTCTGATCTTGCAGACATTTTCTTCTCATCAGAATTCTTGAGTATAAAAACACCAGGCTCGGGGGCCATGGTTGTGGCTCCATGGTAGAGCACTTGCCTAGCATGCATGAAGCACTAGGTTCGATCCCCAGTGCTACATAAAAATATAAACAAATAAAATAAAGGTATTGTGTCCATCTACAACTTAAAAACAAAACAAAACACCAGGCTCATGGTGCCTTTCCAGGCAGCAGATCTGCCAGTGCTTTTCTGGAAAGTGTATACTGACTAAGGAAACACCTTAGGTGTCTCTCCAGATTAACTACCCTGAAAAAACATTCTAGAATATTTTATTTTTATTCTAATAGTAACGTAATTTACCCTAGAAATAGAACCTTTCCAACCCTCATTTTACCTGTAAAACCAAATGCCTATGTCTGGCATCTTCTAGGCACAAGTCACCTCTATCCAAATGGGACCTAAACAATGACAGGTACTCGTTCTGACGACTGATATCTGTGGCCAGTATCAAAGCACCTATCTGAGTCTCCATTTGTTGCCTGTAATTAAATAAATATAAGAAGAAAGTATAAGACTTTTAGTTAAATAATTATTCTTGATTTTTCCCCTTAAGCAAAGCTTTACAGAGCCCTACGATATTCAAACTGTCATCCAACTTAAAAATTTTATCTACAAAAAAAAATGTATTTTAAAAAATTCATTTAAAGACTATTAAAACAATCAAAACTAAAACCAAGGGAGTTTGTAAGAAAATGCCAACATATAAACAGTCCAAAAAAGTGCCTTTGTTTTTGCTAACCAAGGTAGAATTATTTGCTTTAAAAAAATGAATATAGCATTGGTATGGTATTTGAGAAAATCCTTTTCTAGGGTTTCTTTGCTGGAAAATTCTTGTGCTGAGGATAAACAACTTTGGTTTCTCTTTGGTGCCTGAGATTTGAAAGGCAGAAGGAAGATTCAAATGGAGAGAATACTAGACCATTCAACAAATGACCACCTCAGGCATTTTGACGAACATGCCTAAGGAAATTCTGACGATACCACTAAAAAATTAATAAAGTTTAAATTTGATTATATATTCAAAGTCAAATTCAAGAATTAATCAAATATTTGTATATGAATATTCAAATTTCTGGAAGAAAAAGGTGACATGCTAATAGAAATAGCAAATATAAAACATTAAAATCACCTCATGTCAAGTAACTAATCCCTTCCCTTTGTTCTAATACAAGTATATTTGTTTAATGGTCAGCAAACAGCTGACAAACACATTAAAACACTCACAAAATTGACTAATAAGTAAAATAAACCCTAAATGAACAAAATGTAAAAGGATACTATTAACAGTTTTCCTCATTTTCAGTTTATTTTTATTAAACCTACAGAAATCAACAAAGTTAATCATCAAATGCAAAAGAGGATAAAAAGTAAACAATGAGGCAAATATGTTAATCTGTCTTAATAAAAACATCCCCAAAGTTAGATAAATAAATACTGTACAATTTAAGCAATTTTTATATTTGTGCTACAGCAAGAAACAGTTTACTTACCAGAAGTATTGTCATACTCCAAATGGTAACCATGAATAGATTTAAAAAAATAAAAAATAAAGTCCAGCTTTTTCCTTATAGTCATTACATAAAACAGTTTTTTAAGAAAACAGTTTTAAATTATAAAAGGAAAAAGGTAAATGAGTGTAAATTTTAATACTCAAGCACACACCCTGATACCTCACCACTTTTCTTGATGGATGGTACATGGTTTTCTGAAGTGCATCTTCTCTATGTGCAGCATCAGTAAAACCTTTTTATTTTCACTACTTTCATGTCTGTTTGTGGACTATACCATGGCAGTTCACCACCACCATGTTGAACTTATTTACACTGATGCTTTTAATAGTCCTTTTAATGTCCTGCCTAACATTAAATTATTTTTCTAAAATATTATTTTCTTTTCATTATTTATTTTAATAGCTCTAAAAGTGACTTTAGAACTATGCTCTTGAGGACACAGTTTCATTCTTTCCTTCTCAGCAATTTTGAAAACTTCCTGAGACAGACTGTAATGAATCTACTTGTTATATAGAAAAATTACTTTCTACACAATTTGCCTTTACACCTAGACCTTAAGGTTTTATTCAGCTGAGCATACAGTGGAAATATGTAAGACCTATTTAAGTAGTAACCTATGACTGAGCCCTTGTGTATCTGGAGTAAATGTTCTAGTACTCAAATTCATAGAATGGTCTTTCATAAAAATAAATAGCAACTAAAATATTACTGACTGAATATATAGTACAGGATTAAACATTTGAAATTTTGATAAATATATTTTTAAATAAGATAATTTATCCATTTAGTTTAACAAAAACTGAAAACTATAGAACACCTGGACATAATAACATTAATTTCAAAACTTAGTAGATTTATTTGCCAACTTAATTTCCATAATTAATAACAAATTAAATTTGTCTTAATCCAACCTACCTTCTTTCTAATGGCAAATGTGAGAATAAACCGGATTCTCTCAATAAGCCCACTGCAGATCTCCAGTGGTGATTTTCCAGTACTGAGGTATTCTACAAAAAGTATGTTTCTTAGTTACTTAATGGTAAGTCTCTTTCTAAACAAAGAATTATTTGTCAGTAATATTAATCTGGTCAAAATTCTAGCATTCATTGAGAATTTATTTTTGCTACTTTTATTTCTTCAAAATATGAAACATTTATTCTAAAATGCAAAAAAATCAGACTTTGATGATAAAATTGCACTAACCTTGTATAAAGTTGCCAAGTAATGGTTAGTTTTAATAAGGAAAGGTTGATTAACACCTGGATGATCCAGATCATGAGTGGCAGCTGCAATTAAGCTCAGCAAGATATCCCAAGGAGTTACAGAATTGGCAAGCTAAAGTGTGACAAAAGAATAATTAATCACATATTTGAAGTAAACTCTACACCACTAGAGTAGTTTTGAATTAGCAGCCAGTGGTAGTGTTGACAGTCTTCCCCCACTTCATATCATTTTTTTCAGGCAGACTATTCATTAATGCCACCAACACCTGCCAGGTACTACCTTATCAGGACACTGTGGCAGGCGTGATATAACAGTGTCCTATGGAGTTTACAGAGCTTATCTTTATACTGCTTCATTTTTAACACACTTACCTAAAATGATAGCTGAAGTATAAACCATTTATTTTTTAAATGGTTTTTGAAAAATGACAAACACAGGTGTGTGTATTTTCATTATTGGAGCTATTACAAAGTAGTAGAAGACCTATAATTTCCAGAGTGTTTATCTATCAATAAATTGGTCACTGGATTTCAATAATGTAATTTAAATGCAAGGTTATTACTGTAGTCCTAATATTTAAGGAAGCTACTGAGGAATCATGCAGGAAGAAGTCTAGGTCAAGTGTGTAATAAAATTCTCTCCCAATGGATGTATACATTCAGAACAAGGTACACACAAAGTCAAGTCACACAAGAGGGAAATCTGTAAACTGGCACTTATAGTTTTATCTTCAATAATCATTACCAAACTTATTTGATAAAATAAAACAACCTACAACAAAAAAGTCTAATATTAGCTGACTGAAATTCAACAATTAAATTAGTCACATTGAGTCTAGCATCTGCTCTCATGAACGCCCTCTTTTTCTGGCAAAATTCTACTTATCCTTATCCTATAAGGCCCAACTCCACTGACCCGCCCTCTAGCCACTTTCTCAGCAAAGGACTGGTTTGTGTTCCTGTAGCACTTCACAGGGCTGACCATCCTTGTGGTTTTCACGTTAGGTTCTGACATGTTCCACAACTAAAATTTCAAAGGTCAAAATTCATTTCTTATATATATTCTTTGTCATCAGCTATGTAGTCTGTACTCAGTGCAAGAATAATGTGCACATGATACATTCCACTTTGTGTTTGTGGAATTGCATGTATTTGTATGACACCAAAAAGATGATGTCTACTAGAGATAAGAGTCCTAAGTATAGAAAAGAAATCAGAGTTGAGAGAGAGATTTAGGAATCATCACCTGCAGATGTAACTGAGAGCCATGTGAGCCCATGAATGACATCCACCCCAGAATCTGCCTAGTAGTGCCCCTAGCATTACTTCAAAACAGTTCTCTCCCCTTATTCTGGCTAGATGTGAGGAGGAAAACAACTAAACCAGTTTGTGCCAGTTGAACTGAGAATACAGCCAGTCATCTGATCTTTCATGTCCCATTTTTTTAACTATATGTATCATGACTTTTTAAATATCATCTTTATTATGGTATAACTTCCATGCAGTAATAAAATATATACATTTTATGCATACAGTTTTGACACATGTATACTCTCAACTATCCCAATTTTTAAATTAAAAATTTTAAAAGGCCAAGCTGAAACCTTTCTTTGAGAACTTTGTGGGAGAAATTGATAAAGAACCTCTGTGCAAGTCTGGAAAATGAAATAATGGAGATAAATTCTCTGAAGCACAGAGGAGGGCTGACCTAAATAGAGAGGGCTCCTCCCACTCCCCATCTTCCACTGGCCACACCTAACTATAGCCAGGAGCTAGGAAATCTAAGAGATGGCAGGTTAAGCAGGCTGGGGAGGCTTGTGGATAAATGAAGACAAATGTGATTTTAAACACTTTTCATCATTAACAAACTCAATGAACTCTATAAAAGCCAAAGCTTTGATTAAGGACATAGAATCACTGAGCCCTCAATGCAGCAACTGCCTTCTCCCATACTACAGTTCACACTTAAAAACATACATACATCATTTCTCCCTTTAGTATTTACATTTTGTCTTCAAGACTGAACTTACATGGACTACAAAGAATTTTGTTCCAATTGAGCCTGATATCCTTGAATTATTGACAATGTTAATAATCATGGTTGTCACTGAGGAAGCTGTGATTTCTGCCTCTGTTTTCTATTTCATGTTTAGACTCACTCTTACATATGAGTTTAAATCAATTACTATATTAATTTAGCAATATCTGTGGAAGATTGGTTCTTGGCTGCCAGTGCAGCCAAGTCACGAACTTAGGAAAAAGTATCTGAAAGTAAATTCAAAGCAAATTTCTTACAATTTACACCTAAAGTCAAGGTCGACCTCTTACCTTAGGTTCCTTTAAGTAACAGTGCATGGCCTGAGTAACATCTGCAGCATGGACTGCATTATGATAAGGATTTTGACTGTGGTAATCTTCTTGAATCATAACTGCATCAAAGAAAAAAAGATCCCAATTGTACTGTAAATGGGTGACATGTAAAAGTACAAAAACTGTGATAATTGTCAGTTATCCACTCATATTTTAAAACTGTCCAGATTTGAAGAGATGATAATCAACTCACAATTCACATGTACTGTCTTTCATCTGAATATGTCTGACTAGATACATTCTGAGAAGTATGACATTAGGCAATTTCATTGTTGTGGGAACATCATCGAATGTACGTGCACAACTTTAGTGGCTACAATTCACTTGGGTATATGATCTCCTGGGACCACTGTCATACATACAGTCTGTCACTGACAAAAAGCTGTCACGTGGTGCACAATGGCAAATGTGTTTTAAGTAAAAAATTTTGAGTGGTTTGTTACAGAGCAATAGATAACTGATGAATCTGATAAAAAAAATTAAACAAGTTCTCATACAAATCTTATTATTGTTAAATGGGTTAGACTCACCTAAAAATCTACGAAGTTTCATCATATCTAAATGGAAGTACTCAATTAATCCATGAAGACTAAATAAATGAAAGGTTAAACTTACTAGACTATTTCCTAAAAAGAAAGAAGAGATATTACATTAGTAGAAAACATATAAAGTAACATAATTAACACTGCACTTTCCAATTTGGATTTTGAATACAAAACTCAGAAAGTAAGTATCCTCACTCCTACTTTTGGTCTACCTAATTGTTTTTAATTTTACCTGTTATGAACTTCAAATGTAACAATTTTGTTCTACTCTAAGGGGGGAAAAATAACCTTTCATTGTTTCAGTTTTCTACAACCGAAAAACTGAAAAACTGAAAAAAAATAAATAAATAAACCTTTCAGATAGATTATTTTTTTTAAAGTCACCAAAATAATTAGAAAACTTTGATAACTGCCACACACTGATTAAGCCAATTCAACTTCCCAAAGCACCTAAAACATGGTTGCTTTTAACCCCTTCTTCTAATATGCCCTCTATCACCTCGATTTAACTAAAACTGGCTTTCCCTGAGCAAAGGTCTTGGCTGCAACCTTGTTGGGTGAAGGCTATTTATTCTTAGGTACTCAGGGCAAGGCAGATCAGTGACCTCTTCAAGTGCCCCAGGATCAAAACTATACACTCAATCACTTGCCTTTTCCATATTTGCAGCAGAAAATCTAAGAGTTCTTTGCAGGGGGAAATTGGAAAATTCTGTCCCTAAAGATTCATGGTCAACAATGCCCAGCAATCTTACTGTTTTTCCAGTGAACTGGGAAATGTTTATTTTCAAGACTTTTCTACTCTTCTCAAACTTTCAGCATACTCACTGCCCATCTACTACTCCTCATTCTTCACAGTCTCCTACTTCACAGAAAAACCACAAGCCCTCAAGTTTCCCTTTTAGTCAAAAGCAAATCCATCCACACCTCCTCAAGGAAGGTCCCTTTCTAGTTCCATCAGAGACACCTACTATCATGCAAATCAATCAGTGTCTTTCTCCTATATTGTTCCAATAGGCATCAGCATTCAAACCTTCTCTAAATTCCCATTTCTTTCAAACAACAAAGAATCTGGGCTTCTCTCAGCTACTCTATCCCCTACACAGCCAAGTCTTCATCCTCAACTTCCACTCCTTTATCACTGAATGACAAGAGTCATATCAAGTACAGAAATCACATTTGGAAAACGTACTATCCTTATCATGATTAGTTTTCCCTTCCATGCTATAGCTCTCCATTTTTTATCTTATATTTATCAAAGTTTTAGAGACTTCTTCTAAAGGACACATACAGATATTAAATAGACTATGTTTTAAAGGGGTATGATGTCAGAAATTACTGCCAACTGCTACCCTTCAGATAACAACATATACAGTATTCTAATATTCTTTGAAGAAGTTTATTATTCTTACTAAGATGTAAAAAAGATTAACTAGTTCCAAATTGAAATTTTATAGTATTAATATTTAAGAAGGATAATAAAGGACTAGTTAACTGAATTTGTAATCCAAAACAGACTAAATACAATTGTCAATAGAAATCATAGCTGAGAAAAAAAAGTAAATTAACTGGAGTAATATTTGCCATGAGCAACATTAGAAAGGATGTGGTGAGCCAGAGATTCCTTTTCAGGAGTACCTGGCATATCACCTTCACATGGAAAGAGGAAAAAAAAATTAAACCTTTTACTTTTAGAATAGATTCAAGTCCTAATAACACCCTACTGGAACAAACACAAATCCACATGATTTGGAACCATTTGTGAAAAAGTTGAGTTTTATTCCCACAGTTACTGCTGGAATAACCAAGTTTTCTTCAGTTATGTACATAGATATTTTAGAATGGTATATTCATTCTGTGTATTCAGGTTATCATACAGTTCTTCCAAGTCATTGTCCAAATCTAACAAAACAAATCACCAATTTCTATGGTCTAGAATAAGTTTTACAAAAGCTAGGACCTAAGGGAGAAATATCTTCTTCTGGAATTCAGGCAAACAATGGTAAGAGACACACACAATATCCTCCACTAAGAACTTTCCAGGAATCTGTCAAGAACTAATCAATTCAAGTGTACTTCCCATATCAAACTGAAAAACTGCATGCATACTTCTTCCCTTTTTCAGTTCAAAAAACACTGAGTATTTTAATACAGTGAATGAGAATACAAGTCGATAAAACATTTCAAAACAAGACATGCTTAGTTGTATTAAACAAACAAACAACAACAAAAAAAAAAAACACAGGAGAACTTATTTTTAAAAATGGAAAGGAAAATAAACACTTTCTTGAAAAAGAAAACTGTAATTATAGAAAAGCTCTCTCATAAAAATATACCAAAAGATGGAACTGCCTAAGGTTTAGTGGCCCTCAATGGTTTTTAGAAAGTGATCCTCCAGAGCCAGTGCCACAACACAGGCTGGCACATAGTGTCCTTAGGAACCAGGAAACTCTCTGGGGCAGCAACCTATATCTTGCTCCCACAGCATCACTTCACTCTCATCCCTGTAAAAGGAGCATCAAGTATATCTAGCAGACAGTAACTATTTTCCTCCTTGGAGCAGACAGCTGGGGACCATTTGTCTTGGCATGAATCACCGAGTTTTGCCTCCTACTCCTCCCTGTCCTCTTCCTAGTATCATCTGGGGAATTACCAGAGTAAGAAATACAAGAAAACACCAGATCAATAAGCAAGAAGGGGAAACTATACACTTGGATACCAAGAACACATATCCGGAATTAGTTTCAGGGTAAATAGTGTTTAAAGGAAATCCATTATGATTGCATAATGCAAGTTGATGAAATTCCTTCTGACCATTTGTTCAATAACATCTCTTTAAGTAGAGAATTTCTATAACTTTTAGGTAGCTGTAATTGACCGTGTGCATCACCTCCTATAAAACAAAGGTGGCTAACCATGGGCAGATTATACTAACCCCTCATGATCTGGAATCAACACTAACAAGTAGCCATTCAACCACCTTCTCCACAATTGCAGATGAAGAAGTTACATAATCAAAGCGAAGGTAAAGTGCTAAGTTAACTAATATAGATTGGAGGCTATCACTTCTGACCACCCTACATAATGCCAAGCTTACTTCTACTTGCATCCCTGAGTCCCTGTTGAGGACTTCTAAAAAATAAAATTTAGAGGTGAACAATCAACCATTTCAATTAATGACAGGCATCTCAGCAGCCCAATAATAGACTATGAGCTGACAGGTTATATAAGGCTAAACCTTAAAGGTGTTTCATTTGTATTTATTTGATATAATAACTAAAGTAATATTTGTATTGAGTTATGAAAGGAAAATATTCCAGATCTAGAAGGAGGTAGTCACCTGATATCTCACTACCTGTGTTTTCAAGAAAGCCCATGGGAAGACCAACTGTTAGTGACATTTGAGCCTTTTTAGCACTGACTGCCAAGGTGGGGGCAGGGAGAGCAATAGGACACCTAATCACCAAAGGGCAAAGGAGAGGTGGAAGAAAAACAGACAGGGAAGAAAAATAAAAAGGGAAATGGAAGGTGACTTTGCTGATAAAGGCAAACTTCACTGTCTTGACCGTTTTGCCAAGCATAAGTCCACTCTATTTCCTGGCTACAAAGCAGAAGGTGCGCAGAGAGGTACTTTCTGTACCCATGGCATACAGCCTAGAGGAAATAATGGGGTGATGCTATAAGGCCCACATTGATGCTCGAGATAAAGCTGTGTTTATTTGTCCATTTTATATATTGGCTTCTTATGAAAGGAGCTTCACCCCAAAGTGAAATAAGCAAAAGCAGGTGATTTCAAAGGACAGCAGCAAGCCACATATTTATTTTGTCATTACAAACAGTCAGAACTGACTTCCTTTCCATGTACTTTCTACTTTGCTTCATTTTATTAAAAAGCTATTTAGAAAAAAAGGGGAAAAAGCTAGAGGAACTGCATATACCACGATGAATTACACGAAAATATTTATCCTAAATAAAAGATATTCCCAAAGGGAATCCAGTTTGGGTTCCCAAAGAAAATAGTGAACCATGGCATCTCCAACCCAAACAAAACTAAACCAAACTCTGGAGTGGGTGGGACAGATCAGATCACCTATAAGCATCTTATTCAAACCACTTTTACTCCATAGAGATTCCAATACATTCTCCTAAGCTACAAACTCTTCCTATCCACTGTGAGAGGCAGTGCCAGAGGGAACCATTGCTGCTGACTGTAACATGACATGTCTGTCTCTCAAGAACACAGAGAAAGCAAGCCTGGGAACCACAGCACTTCAGGAAAGGATGCATCTCAAGTGGCAGCCAAGCCACCAATCACCTGGAATACACAGGGATACAGCACCAGAAGAGGTCACTATAAATAGCCACAATCTAAAAGAAACCAAAAAGGGAAAGTTGAGCCCATAATGAGATAATAAGGCTTACTCTGGGTAATTAAAAATAGTTGCAATAACTGCCAACTGGCTGCATCATCATGATGATGAGTTTTGATTACTGCTTAGGGTAATAATAAAAGCACAGAATTGTGAGATTGTCAACATTTAGAGAAGTCACTAAAAAAACAAACAAACAAACAAACAAAAAAACCCACAAAATGATGCTCCCTCTGCCAGCAGAGGGCTCATAACCTGAGTCAATGAAAGCAACAGCCCACCAGGGGCTGTACCATTAATGCAGTAATCTAGAGGCTACATTAACTTGAGTAAGTCAAATTCTTCACTTACCATTTGTTAGTCTATCAAATAGAAAGATATCAAAATTCCAATTTCCAACTTTTTCCAGCATACACTGAAATGAAAACCAAACATTCCTACTGTAATTTAATTTTAATAACATTCTCTGTCTTTTGTAGATAGTCCATAGAGAAGTTAATGAAAATGGAAAGTGACTGATGTACTTCCAGAAATACCAAGTATCATTCTTCTTTTGGCTCCAAAAAATGCCCAAAGATATAAACTCAATTTGAAAAATAAAATCATTATTCTGTTTTTCAATTAATGAATGTACAGGTAGACAGGTCTTAGTCTTTCAACTTATTCCTATAGTCCCACAAAATTTCAAGAATTCTAAGATAATTTAAACATCACAGAAGTGTGATTTATACGTTGCATGAACTAAAAACTAGATTTTTAAAAATCTAGTAAAACTGAATTAAAATGGCTACCTTAACACTGACACCCACTACAAGCAGGCATTATTTTCCATCCTCAGTCTACAGATGGGAAAATAGGTAAAACTTAGCATTAATATGCTCAGCTAGAAAGTGAAAGAGATGGGATCTTAGTCTGGTTCTGGAACTCAGGCACCTGACATTAATACTATACCAAACATAAATTATCTATTATTCATGTTTTTAAAAACATTACCAACTTAAGGGACATTTATTATCTTTAAAAAGCATTTTAGAGCTATTAATAGAACTTACTACATGAACTTTTATGAGGATGTGTACTTTAGCCAACCAAAAAAGATCCTAAAAAAACAAATATTTTTATACCATAAATTCTTGGGCACTCTTTTTTATTGGTAGTGTCTGGGATAAAACTCAAGGCTTTGCATATCTTTTGTTCTCAGCCCACATCACATATTCTTTTTTTTTTTTTTTTTTAAGAGACAGAAATGGTACCTTGATTTGATCATTACACAACATATACAGGTATTGAATTGTTATACTGTACCTCATAAACATGTACAAATGTGTGTCAATTAAAAACAAGTATTCGATTTAAAAAATTCTATCTGACAACATTTTTGGTCTCTGCCAGTAAAGTGGCAATAGTAAAAAATATCAAACATTTACAAACTTGTGTGTCATCCTTGCCCAGGGTCTGTGCTAATCTTCTCTGCATCGTTCCAGTTTTAGGTATGTGTGCTGCCGAAAAGAGCACTAAACCACATACTCTCAACCTGAACATCTTGTGGACTTTTTCAAGAACAAGATTTTATTCTATTTCCAGAAATTAAATGTTATATACATTGTGTATAAACTGACAGAAGCAATACTAAGATAGTACTAATAGAGTTTGTTAAAATTATGATGGTACTCATATAAGCAATAATACACAGATCACATTCTCATTTTATAAAGCCAAGCTTGTAAACTTTTCAAAATTTAAAAAAAGTATGAGCAGTTTCCACTGATTTCTTTCATCAAAAAGCAAATGTTTTTCACATTAATGTGATTGTTACGAAGGTACCCCCAAAATTTACAAAATCTAAATAAAAAATAGTTTATAAAATTTGGCCTATAAAACTAAGTCAAACAATAGTTTAAAATACACTAAAATTCAAGATTATTTAAAATCCTCATTTGGTCAAGAATAAGTTCATTTAACTTCAATCTGAATTATGACATCAGCTCTAAATACATAAAAATGAAGCAAATAAAGCTCACATTCATTGGGTTTAGCTAAGAAATGTCTAACTCCTCAAAATCTCTCTCTCTTTGGTACTGGGAATTGAACCCAGAGGTCCTTAATTACCGAGTTACATCTCCAGCCCCTTCTATTTTTTTTTTTTTTTTTATTCTGAGACAAGGGTCTCTCTAAATTGCTGAGGTTGGCATCAAACATATGATCTTCCTGCCTTAACCTCCTCCTGTGCCACTGAGATTACAGGTGTGTGCCACAACACCCAGCCAAAAATCTGTTGGCTGAAAGACACTATGCAAAACACATTTGAAAATCATGAAACCTAACTTCTTGTGCTAGGTTACCCCTACCCAGCTGGGTGAATTCAGACAACTCCTTTATGCTCTCTATGCTTTTCCTTATCAATAATCTCAAATATTCAGGTAATCTCTAATTGAATTATTATATTGTACCTCATAAACATGTACAAATGTGTCAATTAAAAACAAGTATTCGGGGCTAGGGATGTGGCTCAAGTGGTAGCGCGCTCGCCTGGCATGCGTGCGGCCCGGGTTCGATCCTCAGCACCACATACAAACAAAGATGTTGTGTCCGCCGAAAAATAAATAAATAAATATTTAAAAAAAAAAAAAAAAAAAAAAACAAGTATTCAATTTAAAAAATTCTATCTGACAACATTTTTGGTCTCTGCCAGTAAAGTGGCAATAATAAAAAACATCAAACATTCACAAACTTGAATGTTCTTCCCGCATTAAGATTTGGTACAATCTTATAACTTAATGTTCTATTGACCTACTTATTACTTAATGTTGTGATAAATGGAAATATTTTCACTCTTTTAGTTATTTCAGAAATTTCTCTTGCTCTGTCATCCCTAATTACAGAACAAAAAGTTGCTCTGAAGAAAAAAAAAATCTGAAAAATTGGCTCAATTGCTTTTTTGCAGACAGAAATAGGGATCTACAAATCAGTACTGCATGGGGAAAAAAGGGCCTCAGTAGACATGTCAAGCAATTATTGAGAAAGCTGTACACACCTTGGCTTGTCCATTATAATCATCATCTAAAATGTTTAGAGAACTGGAAGCAGTAGTACCACGGAAAAAGCGTGAGGATCTGAGATACCGCTGGAAACTTAGTAACCGCCTAATATTCCTTGCAGAGACAGACACTTCAAATTCAGATTGAGCTGAAATAAAAGAAGTAAAAGGTAAGAAGAGCAACTCATATTTGTACATATGCTACATTTACAACACTCCTAGTTATACACAAGTATTTTTAAAAATTTATTAATCATTATGCCACATTTCTAGGAGAGAAGAGGTATTTTATTTCTATTTTCAATTGAAAAACTAAGAATGAAAAAGTAAATGGTCAATTCTGGCAGGATTTAGAAAAGAGGATGACAAATCAGTTTTTTTCTAATTCACTGGCTCCCCGTCATCTTATTATGAACTCCATCTCTTTACCCTAGAAAAGAAGGCTGCATGTTCCAGGTTTTAGCTCTCTCCGGACTCAACTTGGGTGTCACCTTTTCTGGGAAGCACACCTGAATGCACTCTCCTCCATCTCAAAGAGGTAGGAGGCACCTTCTCTGGGTCCAAAAGCACCCCACACATTCATGCATTACAGTACTTCTGATAATATATTATAATTGCTTATGTGTCTGTCTCATCAACAAATGATGAGTTTCAATACAGGCAAAACATATTTTTTTTCATCTCTGTTTTCCCAAGTCTAACAAGAATGTCACATATATAGTAGGTAGTTATAAAACACATTGTATAAAGGTATATTATTTTTGAAATATCTGAGAGGTTCTCACACACCCAAATAAACCAGAAGTAAAATAATGCACACTCTTATTTGATCTACTTCTCCCATTTTTCATTCTACTGAGTCTAAAATACAAAGTATGTGAAACAACTGTGGAGTTAACTTTCTGATCTTTATCAATATAATGTACATAAAACATAATAGACTCAAAATGGTAAAATATTAAATGATCATGTTTAAATTAAAATTAGTCTGAGGAAATGAGGGTAGATTAAATTCTATTAACACAATGTTCCAAGTGCTTTGTAAAAAGTATCTTACTCAAAAAAAAGGGGGGGAGGTAAATATTATCCGTATCCCCCCTGTATACCTGAGAACACTTATTAAGTCTCTGCTAAAACACATTTATCTATCTTCTATATTTCAATTCTTTTTAACTATTACTAATTCCTTTTGCTTGCTCTTCTCATTTCTTTCTCCATACCCACTCTTTCTAGTGTAGACTATTTTGTTTTCCTTCCCCGTGTCTTCATTTCTGTGATATATTTGAAATTTTGTCTTTACCATTTCCTGATTCTGAATGCATGTTTCAACTCCTTCCTTGAGTTCATGAATTAGTGCTCTATTGGTAAATTTTTTGTTTCATTTAGTTTTTTAAGTGAGTGGTAGAGAGTTTAGTCCCAATTTTCATCTGTTCTATAGCAATGTTTTCCTATCAAGTGCTCTACAACCACTAAGTTCTGCTGCTCTCTCCCACTGTTTTACTTCATTAAATTACCTGATATGCCAGTGTTTGTTTGTTTTTTTAAGAGTCATTACTGAAAGGGATGAGTTTTCCTGGACCTACTCTTTGCCCAAGTTCTCTGAGGGCATGAAGGGCAGGTGCTGGGAGAGGACAGAGGAGCCCTCTGAGCTTCACTACCAAACGGTGCTCTCCTTCTTGCCAAAGAAACATAATGCTTCTTGCAAGTATGCCAGTGCCGTTTCTCTAAACCAAATCTGGCCCAAGGGAACTACACTTACCCCTACTCATTCCACATTCTGGATTAGACTTAGCAAATAAAATATTTAGCTTTGTATTTCAGGGTGAGCTCTGTGCCCCACCCCACATATGCTTTATAAAATCATTATTCAGACTTCTTTGTAGTTTAACATATGGTCTAGACTTGAGAATGGCCCATGTGCACCTGAGAAGAATGTGTGCTCTGCTATAACTCCAAATGGATTATAGTGTTGCTAAAGTCTGCTATTTCTTTACTAATCTTTGGTCTAGTTCTAACCGTTCTAGAAAATGTGGCAGTAAAGTTTCCATTATTGTAGAATTGTCTCTTTCTTTAATTCTTGTATTTTGGAGATCTGTGGTTATACATGTATATAACTGTCATATTTTCTTGTTGGATTGAAAATTTTACCAATATAAAATGTCCTTTGTCTCCCACAGCCTTTTTTCTTAAAGATCGTTTTGTCTGACAATAATAGAACTACTCCCAATCTCCTCATTATGATTTATATGGTATATCCTTTCACATTCTTATTATTTCAACCTCTTTGTGTCCTTTCTCTTAAAGTGAGTCTTTTTACTCAACAGCTAGAATTTGTCTTATTCCTTTTGTATGTCGAATACCTGAGTCTGGATAATAAATTAAAAAAAAAAACCAAAAAACAGAGATTCATCTCCTGTAGTTCTGTAGGCTGGGAAGTCCAAAACTGAGGGGCCGGATCTGTAAGAACCTCCTTGCTGCATTGTCCCACAGCAGAAGGAAGAGGGAAAAGAACATGTGCAAGCAAGAGAACAAGACAGACCTTGTCCTCTTACAGGACCTCACTCCCAGGATAACTAATCCAATCTCATGGTAACAACATTATCCAAAAAGGCAGAGCCCTCAGGGCCTAGTCACCTCTTAAAGGTCCTATCTCTCAACACTGTGGCACTGAAGATTAAGTTTCCAACTCAAGAACTTTGGGGGACATATTCAAATCGTATCAAGCTGTGTTTTTTAAAGCCAACCTGTTGATCTCTGCCTTTAAAGAGAAAAAAAAATAGTTAATTAACATTTCAGTACTATTACTAAGAAAGAAGGATTTACTTTTGCCATTTGCCATGTTTTCTGTTTCTTCTATGTTTTTCGTTCCTTAATTTCTCCATTATCTACTGCCTTTAAAAAATTTTGTTGATGATTTTCCTAGTGTTCCAGTTTGATTCCTTCTTCTTTCCTCTTCTGTATAATTTTTAATCATTTTCCCAGTGATTACCTTGGGTATTACAATTAACCTTTGAACTTTACAATAAGTTAGTTTGCCTACCAACTTAGTTTCAATGGTAAAACATTCTGCTCCTTTATATCTCCATTCTCTCCCTTTATATTGTTATTGCCATAGATTACATATTTAAACATTGTATGCCTATTAAGATAGACAAAATAACTGTTATATGTATTTGCCTTTTAAATCACATAGGGAAAAAAGGAGTTACAAATCCAAAGTACAGTAATACTGGCTTTTGTATTTACCTACGTACTTGCCTTTACCAATGCTCTTTATTTGTTCTTATGGCTTTGGGTAACTGCTAGCATTCTTTCATTTCCGCCTAAAGGACTCCCCGCTTTAGCATTGCCAGTAGGATAACTCTATTGGTAACGAAATCCCTTGTCTTCTATCTTTCTGACTAAGTGTTAATCGGAGTCTCCTTTATTCTTGAAAGATAGTTTTTACTAGATATAGAATTATTGGTTAATAGTTTTTTTTTTTAAATTCCCTATCATCCCACTGCCTTTGGGCCTCTAAGTTTTTGAATGAGAAATTAGCTGTTAATTTTATTCAAGGTTCCTTTAGTGAGGCAAGTTGCTTCTCTCTTGCTGCTTTCAGAATTCTCTTACAATGACAATGTGTCTCAGTTGGATCTCTTCGAGTTTATCCTCATTGGAGTTCTTCGAGCCTCTTAAATGTATATATTCATGTCTTAACCAGAATTAGGAAGTTTTTGTTTTCAAATATTTTTTCAGCCCCTCTCCTCCTGGGATTGCTTATCATTGAATTCCTGATAAGAAGATGAGTTCTGCCCCTTTCCCTTGCTTGTGCTTGTTCCTCTTACTTCTGCTGTATTAAATGTAGCAAGAAGGTCCTCACTATATATAGCTCCTTGATCTTGAATTTCCCAGCCTCAAAAAAAAAAAAAAAAAAGGACTAACACACAGTCCATCTACTCTGTAGAAAAGATGTACTTTAGATATAAGACTCACTTTGATGGTGCCTTTCAAAATGAATAATTTCAATTGTCTCATTTAAATTCATTCTTTCTTCTCTCTTCTCAAATTTGCTGTTGAACCCCTCCTCTAGTGAATTATTTTTTTTTAAATTTATTTTTTTTATTGGTTGTTCAAAACAATATAAAGCTCTTGACATATCATATTTCATACATTAGATTCAAGTTGGTTATGAACTCCCAATTTTACCCCAAATACAGATTGCAGAATCACATCGGTTACACATCCACATTTTTACATAATGCCCTATTAGTAACTGTTGTATTCTGCTACCTTTCCTATCCTCTACTATCCCCCCTCCCTCCCCTCCCATCTTCTCTCTCTACCCCATCCACTGTAATTCATTTCTCTCCTTGTTTATTATTCATTTTCAGTTATTGTACTTTTCAGCTCCAGAATTTGTTTGGTTCCTTATTTTATCTATATATCTATTTATTTATTTATTTTTGCTTGACACTTACCAAAGACCAGTATTTATTCAGATTGTCTTTTACTGTCAAATTTTAATGCTTATAATCTTTTCTTTTTTTGTACCAGGGATTGAACTCCAGGCACTCAACCACTGAGCCACATCCCCAGCCCTATTTTGTATTTTATTTAGAGACAGGATTTCACTGAGTTGCTTAGTGCCTTTTACTGAGGCTGGCCTCAACCTCCTGAGCAGCCACTGGATTACAGATGTATGCTACTGCACCCGGCTCAATTCCTTTTTATAATTATTGAGATGCTCATTTTGTTTGCACCTTGTTTTCCTAATTTTAGTTCTTTGTCCATGATTTCATTTAGCTTCATTAAAGATAAATTTAAATATTTAACTAATAATTCTAATGCATAAGCTTTCTCTGGGATGGTTTCTATCAAGTTCTTTTTTACTTTGTTTTTCCTGTTTGTATGTTTTGTAGTTTCATTGACGGTGCCTTACTGACACCTAGTCATTCTAAGTCTTTATACTGAGGCAGATCCGAAATCAGTTCTTTCACTTCTCTAAGATTGTTTATTTTTTGCTTCTTGCAAACTAAAGTCATACATTTTATGACTTCAAATTGCTTTTGCCTTTGCTTTTCCATTTGCTTTTGTCTACTGCTTATGCCTGGCAACTAAAGTTTCCATTCAATTATTTCTACACAAATTTTCTTAAATGTCAGGCTCC